AGCGACGGCTCCTGCTCCTGCCTTTGTTGTTGGGCGATTGAGTGGCATGTAGCGTTAGTTACAGTGGCCCCGAAATGTATGTAACAAGCGTAGCGATTACCCGCCCCCTTCTGCGCCCTCTACACCCATCCACCCCCAAAAAAAGCGATCTGATGTGAGTAACTTTGACCCGTTTTGTGGCCAGCAGCGCGAGTTGAAACGGGAAACGCGGAAAAAAATCAAATCAAGTGCACGATGGGAACGATTTTTCCACTTTTTCACTCGTTTTTTATTTGCTAAATAATGCTGCCTACCGTTTGGGTGGAAAATGGAAAAGCAAACCATCATCAATGCTCTCAAATGCGAAGGGCGAGCGAGCGGGAAAGCGGGAAAGCCAGAGGCTGCTCTCGGGGGTGAACCAAAGCTGCACCATTCGACCACCCTAAATGTGCACACAAATGCCATCGGTACTAAGCCTTTCTTTCTTGGTTAAACACTGTAGTTCATAATGCTCTATTACAGTTTTGATAAACATATTACTTTTTGAGTAGGGTTTGCAAAAAAAACTTATAAGCATGTCCCATTACTTTTTTTCATTTTTTGGTTAACAATATTTTATTTAGAAAGAGTATTCTTCATAATCATACAATTTCACCTTTCTCTGCTGCTGCTTTTTTTGTTGCCAATTGTTATTTCACTTTGTTCATTTCTCGCGGCAAGTGCAAAGCATAAAATAAGTGCGATGATGCCACCACCCCACTCTTCATTGCAATTCCGCGTTTCACCTGCAGATGCATTCGCTTTTTAGCTAGAACAGTTGCGACAACAGTTTTCCATGGCCTTTGCTTTGGTGCGTGTGTGTGCAAAAAAATAAAATAGAAATTCTAACGGAAACGCAAAAATTTTATAATAGCGCACACAGGGCGTATGAGTGCTGGCAGTTGCCATGACGACTTTTAGCCACCAAATATGCAGATGATTCGGGAACAATAGACTGGGTAGATATAAACTCTTTCTATATAAATTAAGATTAGGGTCAGGCATCCCTTGCATCCCTTTAGGGATGATCGCGTTGATCTCTCTGCCAAATATTATATATTTTCGATTAAAATTTCACGGAATAAAAATAGGTTATAGCTTTGAAAAAAAAAACTTTTTAATCATCCAGTGGCGTTTAAAAATCAATGTGCAGCTTACCCAGCCATAATCCCCATTTTGGACTATCAAACTAAGCCTGTTATTACCTGATTCATAACACGCCCTTTGTTGCCTTTTTGGGCGTTGAACAAATAAATAACTTGCCACCCTATACAAATACCAGAGTTGCATACATCCTATGTAAACGCACACATATCACTTATGTATATCGCTTTCAATATTTCATATATGCGACAGGGTATTTGTTGTGAGTTGTTACGCTCTCCGCCCATTTGATCGCCCAGCCGATGGCTAAAACCGTGGCTGCACTCAGAAAATGAATCGCCCTGAATTTTAGAAAATCGCCTATGGATTTGCTTCACTGGCGATTTTTTTCTTTAAAATAAAAAAATTTTCTACTGGTAAAGAAAATTTTCTTCCAATTAATCAAAATTCATTAAATTCAAGAAATATTCCAGAAATATAGAAAAAAATCGCCAGTAAAGCAAATCCATAGGCGATTTTCTAAAATTTTTTTTTGAGTGTGGTAACTAATTTGAAACTGTCCCGAAACGATGCATTCAACCCACACTACCCAACGTCCACTGATTTTTTCTATATTCCCAATATATTTTTATTTTTTATGCCGGTGCACTGGGCTCCATCACGTAGAATGCAGTTCCCATGTTTGCAACGCTCACTTTTTGTAATTGCTTTGACCAGCGTAGATATTATTTTATTGTACAAGTTTTTTTCGGGGCTTATATATATATTCTCTATATATATATTCTATGGCGCAGTACATGCATTTAATGCATTCGAGGGTTGCAGCCGAATTTTTAACCCAAATGGAATGCACCTATATGGAAAAACTCCTGGGCTTCACTGGAATAGGAACGCTCTACTGGAAGTTGTGAGGCCGCAGGATTCCATTGCCTTTTCTGGTCTCTCCTAAAGGTCTTTCTAATAGCTTTTGCCATATTTTCAGATGGTACGACTTCCCAGGAAACTTTCTAATCAAGCTCGGCCAACATCTTTCAATTTCTTTTGCCAATTGAGTCCCCTTCTGCAAGCTATTTTCTCATATCTCTGACTAGTGAAGAGCTAGCCACAAGAATTTTCCATTAATTAAACGAAACTGGAATTGGGGACGAAACTGTGACTGCACAAAGACTTCGGGGGTCAGGCGACTTGCAAGAATTTTTCAAAGTCCAAGACTCAGACGGAACCGGAACAACTCCGTCGGGAGTCTTTGTGAGTGCATGAGTCTACTTACGGATTGTGCTCGAGCTCATCCCAGGCAACCTTGACTTTGCCAGCAGCCGCAGGCCTCCCTTCCTTGGCAAGTAATTTGTTTTGGGCCTGACAGCAGCCCACGAGGCGTATGAGTAACACCTGCCAGGCAGGAAAACACACGCACACACGTAGGAGGAGTGCCCATAAATCCTAGCATTTACTTCCATTTCATGTCTCGCCTGCGAGATGGGGAAAGTTGCTTTTGAAGTCGCTCACACAAATTTGTAACCCTTTTTCGGTAGCGGCCACAAGACGGGCAGGATGGCAGGAAGCTCCTCTAAATATCAGAAATATGCGGGCTTGTGGCATCTTACTAGTTAAAGCAAAGCAAAACGGGGGGTGGGCATCCCCCAAAACTAACAACCGATGAGGTGACACAGGAGGAGCAGGGGGAGGATAAACATGTGCCGTTGCTGGCTGCCAGCCTAAAAGCAGACTTTGACTTCGACTGCGTCTGGAGTACACCACTACAATGCCGGAGACGGAGACCTCTAAGCACACGCATAATGAATTACCACCCAGTCTTGGTCCTTCGTCCTGCGTCCTACGTCCCTTCCCTTTGCCGCCAACTGCCGATGACATATTTCTCCAGACAGAGGCTGCCTTTCCCTTCCTATTTTCCCCTTCCCTTTTCCTCTGAGCAGCGCCTAAAAGGCAGCTAAGAAAATTTGCGTTTAACTCATAAGTGCGTGAAAGGGTTGCCAGGACCTGAGTCTGAGTCCCAGTAGTCGCCCAGTCCCATTCCCATTCCCTACCTCCCATCCAGACCCAACAACATCCCTGTGCACTGTCAAGGAAATTGTAGTTTAAATGAAATGGAAGTTGCTTTTATCAACGGCGAAGAAGGTGGTCTGGGGGCTTAGGGTTTCGGATTGGGAAAGCAAATGGGAAGGGGGATGTTGTGTGAGCTTTCTTAGAACTTCTCCCTCGTGTGTGTGGGTGTGTGTATATAAATTAAAATGCCTAAACATATGCATTAGTTTTTGTCTCAGTCTCACACCCCCTTTCATGTGACTGTATGTGTGAGTGGGGTTTTTTGCGGGTTTGGGGCAACTCCAAAGTTTTTGTGGTTACGACATTGGTTTTCGGGGGAGGTGCGAGCGAGGATGCTTGAGACGAGCTCTGGAACCCTGGGCGCTTCTTAGGGAACGAGGCAAACTGTCAGTCTCGAGTCGGTCTCGAGCTGTGGCCTGACAACTTAGTCTAATGAGAATTCAAATTCGAAACCCAACTACGCAATCGTGCTGAAGAAATTAAAAGAAATTGCACACGATGTGTGGGTGTGCGTGCCTAGTGTGTATCGAACGACATGATATATATTCGTATGTATATGAAAGCAAGCAAGGCTCTAGGTAAGAAATCAAATATTTGTTTCACTTTCTGGCCATAGACTAGAGAATATTTGTTCAAACTCAACTTGAGAGTCGAAGCGAAAAATAAAACTTGGTACAAGAGGGGAAAAAAGGGTCTCATGATAATTAACTTATAAATAAAGAAGGTACAGGTTGCTCTGTAGGTACACTCGAAAAAATAACAAGGCTTCAGAAATATTTAGAACTTCGATTGTCGCTCCGAAAATTCCACAATTCATTTCCTGGGTCGACCCACACATTTACCCCAGAGATCCAGCAAATTAATGTTAATTAAGACTGGGAGTCCATTCACGTTTAAAGGGAAAAAGAAGGATGCCTCAATCTCGATGGCCATCCACACGGAACACAGCTTCATTTGTGCTGCCATTCCCATTCCCATTCTCAGTCCCAATCCCCAATCTCAGGACACCACCACCGTTGCCCCACCCCAGGAGTGTCCTTTCGACCACAAAACCAAAGGAGTGCCGAGGAAAAATGCTTGTGTGCCGGACGCCCAACGTCTTGGGCGAAATGTTTCATTAGAGCCATGTTGGCCGCAAAGGGGCTGGACTTTCCCCCCAAGTGACCCAACTACCCTGACTAGCCATCCTACTAATTTCCAGTGCACAAAAGACGGTCAGTGAAAAAAGGCAACCCCAGGAATGGACAGCCAGGAAAAAGGAGCAGATTGAGGGTGAACCTGGCCTGAAGATGAAAGCCGGAGAAACTTTCCTCTGGAAGCCCCTGTCTGGGGTTTGGGACGCTTTCTTTGACATTTCGTCTTTTTTGCATTCTTTTCACTGGTCTAACGAACTTCCAACTGGTTCTACTTCTAATCATTGGGATTTGGCATATCGAACAAAGTCCCGAAACTTTTTGCGGTCTCCAAGAAACTTCGCTCATCGCTTCCTTAAAAAAAAATATAAAAAATGGGAAATTGATTTTTTGTAAAACGGAAGTGAAAATTCAATTCCGTAAACTTAGTTTTAAGGTTAATACAGTAAGCAGATATTTGTTAAATTTTAAATTAGGTAGATAAATAAACTACCTTTATTATTTATTCCAAAACTTTACTTTCACCAACAATTAATTAAAAATAAAGTCACATAAAATAACCCACTAACAATCCTTATAGAAATTTAATAGTTTTGTATTATTTATTTTAATTTTAATAATATTTAATATTAAAATTTTACAATTTTTGTTAACATTTCGCTACTTTGTTTTACCTTTCAGGAAACCATTCCGGCAACACCGGTCGTGAGCACCGACACCACCGCCAGCGTGGTGGGTGTGGGCGTGGGAGGCGTCGCCGGCGGAGGGTCAGGAGGAGCTAGTGCGGGCGGAGGAGCGGGCGGCACCGGCGGACTCCTGGGCGAGGTGGTCAGCGGACTGGGCGGTGGCCTGGTCAGCGAATCCGAAGCCTACGCCGGCCTGATGAAGGACGCCGACAAGCTGAAGCTGATGCTGCTGGCCTGGAACTACCAGAACTCGACGGCGGTGCGCAACGGGACCGAGGGTCCCGATCTCAGTGTGGTGGGCGGTCTGTGGGCCCAGTACCAGAACGCTCTGGCCCAGAATGCGGCTGCAGCGGCGGCGGCAAGCGGCAAGATGGACAGCTCGCTGTCGCCGGTGCCGCGGCAGGATGCCCACTCGCCCATGGAGACGCAGGACGAGACCAATTCGTCTGGGCAGAAAGAGGAGGACGAGGTCTCCGAGGACGACTCCGACGACAAGCTGGACGAGAAGCTGGCCACCACACACGATCCTGAGCGGCTCAAAGCCTTCAATGTGAGTAAAGCGTGAGCTGTGAGTGAGCGGCGAATGTAAAGCCAAGCGTTGCCAAAGATTCGCCAGTCATCTGGTTAGCAGTTCATTTATGGTTTACTATAACTCCCCTTTGTCTCTTTCAGATGTTCGTGCGACTGTTTGTCGATGAGAATCTCGATCGCATCATCCCCATCTCGAAGCAGCCGAAGGAAAAGATCCAGGCCATCATCGACTCGTGCGCCCGGCAGTTCCCGGAGTTCAGCGACCGATCCCGCAAACGAATACGCACCTATTTGAAGTCCTGCCGGCGCAACAAGAAGACCCGCGATGGTTGGGAGAATACGGTGAGTTTAAAAAGTCAAAATAAAGGAGTAAAACTCCTAAATTCAAATTTTATTTCCAAGGTAAATACATTTTAGTTATGAAATCACAAATTTTTAGAGAATTTATATTCCCTGAAAATTAAATTTTTAAATATTATAGAAAAAATTTTAATAAAAATATATAGTACACATTTTGTTGCCATTGAAAATTTTTTATTTTGAGACAGTTTTTATTCCTTGAAAATAAAATTTGAATTTTTAATGTTGTAAAAAATTGTTTGTCTCTGAAATTTTTCATTTGAAAAAGCCATTCCTAAAAATACCCTTAAATTGCGATGATAAAACAGGATTAAAACATTTTAAGGAGAATAAGTAAATAAAATCTGGTACAAAGTGTTTTTCTCTGTTTTAAAATGCTTCAACTCTTTCTTTCCAATCTACGTATACCACTGAATGTCCAAAAATCTAACATTGCCCCACTTTTCCAGACCCGACCCACTCCCGCTCATCTGACGTCCGTGCAGGCGGAGCAAATCCTGGCCATCGCCTGCGAGAACGAATCGATGAACGCCAAGCGGATGCGCATCGGCCTGGAGCCCATCACGCACGCAGTTCCCGCTCCTGGAAGCGCGGTGGCAGCAGCAGCTGCTGCAGCGGCGGCCGCAGCGGTGGTGGCTGCCACCAGTTCGGGAGCCGGGGGCACCAGCACCACGACCGCCGGAAATGCCACCGCCACCTGCGGCATGGGCGGAGTGGCGGATGCCAGCGGACTGACCAGCGTGGCGGCAGCCGCCCTTCCGTTCGTCAGCGCCGTCGGCTTCGCCCGCTCCACGCCCAACTCGGAGCACGCCGATGTCCTGCCCTTCGGTGGGGCAGTGGGCACTGTGGGCGGCAGTGGTGGGGGTGGTGCCGCCGGCGGAGGCGGTGGTGGGATGAGCTCGGCGCGCAGCTCTCCCCTGGCCCTCAGCTCGAATGCCAGCGTGAGCGGGGGAGCCAGCGTCACCGGCTTGGCCCTGGCCAATGGAGCAGGCGCCTCCAACGGGGCCGGACTGCCGGCCAGCAGTCCCTACACCACGGACTTTAGCTCTCCCTCGACGGCCTCGCCTTTTGTCGCTGCGGCTGCGGCCGTAGCCGCCGGCCGGGCTCCCAGCTATCCCGGCTACTTTCCCGGAGTTGCTGGCCTGGGAAATGGTGAGTACAGCTTTTCAAGGGAAAACATGCAAATATTATTTCCAAAAAATGGTTTACGTGCGACTAGAAAGACAATCACTACACACAAAATCGATTGGTAAAATTAACCGAAATAATTTTCAAACAATCCCCAACCACAAAAATGGTCATTTCTACCAATCAAAAAGTTGCTTTCGCAACAGCAAATACACACAAATAGCAAGCAAAAACAATATCACGTAACTATTTTTTATAGTTACGTAACTATCCGTATAGATCAATTTTTTTTTTTTGTGTGTACGAAATATAAAATGAAAAAATTAAACAAATTTAAAATCCGGAAAAATGCAATTAAGTGGTATTAATTATCCTTATAGAAGAAGAAGAAGTGAATTTTGAAAGTACGAACATATGCAACTTATGTTATCGATAAAAAAGGACGATTTTTTCTCAATATTCTAGAAAAATATATATGTTTTTAGGAGTGTTTAAAACTTATTGTTATGCTTATCGAAAAAAAAATCATCTTTCATTTTCCAGTATATTAAGAATAAATACCAATTAATATCCTTAAAAATTAAAAATAATAATAAATTTAAAGAATGCAAATCTTATAATCGCCTTCTTTTTTCCAGTTACGCCCACCGATCTCTCGATGAAGCCGACCAGCGGCCTGGGCGGCAACATGGTGAACAACAACAACAGCAACAGCTCAGTCGGCGGCAACATCAACTCTCAGCTGAGTGCCGCCAATTTGGCCAGCTTGAGTAATGCGAACAACAACAATGCACTGGTCACAGCCACGCAGCAGTTGCAGCAGCTGCAGCAACAACAGCAGCAACAGCAGCAGCAGCAACAGCAGCAGCAGCAACAACAGCAGCAGCAACAACTCCTGGTGGCCGGCGGTGGGGGGATGGACGGTCAGTCCGTCCGACAGCCGCCCATCCTGCCGCACAAGCTGAGCGCCAACGAGGTGACCGCCGCCCGGCAGGTGATATCCGCTTACCGCGAAAGCGCCGCCTTCCTGCTCCGAACCGCCGACCAGGTGGAGCAACTGCTCGTCCAGCAGCAGTAGGCGTGGCCCGAGGACCGGGGACCGAGCGGGGTTGTTCCTATTTTAAATTAAATTTAAAATGAATTACACACACTCCAAAACACAAGCCAAACTAAGCGAAAAAATAGTCAAACCATATAGCGCAAAAAAAAAACAGAAACAGAGACGAATTGAAAGTGGCTCACAGGATGCAAGGCAGAACCATATGTAGTTAAAGAAGTTCGTTCAAACAAAACATTTTAAGTGTTTTTTCCTCCAACTACGTACAGCATATTTAAAATAGAACTTAACGATAAACAAAAACCAAAAGAAATATTGCAAATATCACAACAGTAAAATAGTAGAGCTGCTACAGTTAGCTGACTTGGTTCTAAGCTAGATTCGATATTTCACTTCACTTCGGTTTCCATAGGCATTAGAAGATATCCACTCTTAGGATGGTTTCAATGGATTCCCTCGTATATTTCTCTTCGAACTAAATTCTTATAAACGATCAGCATTAGATACAATTCAGATAGCAAGGCGGCTCTAGTGAAGAAATAAAACCAAGCAGCAGTTCAACGTACTACAGTGTCTACTAAAAGTAAACCTACAATAGCCATACACAAACACTCGCATTGATTTTGTTTCAACTTTTTATTATCGCATATTTTTGGACTCTCGTCCTTTGGAGAGCCGCAGATTCCGGGCCCGTTTTTAATGTGCGCGATTTGTTAAAAAACAATTTTTAAATATAATAAATAAGTTGAAGTATTGTTGTAAATTTTAAGAAAATGGATAAAAAGAGTAAAAAAAAAACAGAAAAAAATCGTAAAACTATGAGAAAACACAGGGTGATACTTTGAAAAATTATTACAATGCATAAGCTAAAAATTAATACGAGAAAATGTAAAAAAAATTTATGGAAATGAAGTAAGGCATAGATGTTGGTAAATGTGTATTTAAAGTTTAGAAATTACATTTGTATACTGTTTCCAGGATTTATTGTTCTTCATTACTATCAGTTGAGTTTTGAATCTGATTTCCTTTTTATTAAGTGTATATAATTTTCAAGTTTTTATACTGAGACTTTTTTGGTTTAACTGTTGCTTTTTACTCACATTCGATTATTAAATAGATACGGAATAAAATATTTAAATACAAAATAGCCATTCATGTTTTTTGCAAATATAAATGTGCATGTAAAAATAAGAAAACACTTACACAAACACAAAGAAACACATTGAACATCGGTATGTATGAGTGTGCAGAACGACATGGAGGTCCGCTATGCAAGGCAAATTATAGAATTTAATTATATAAATTAATTGCTAAAATTATTTAACCACAAATAATTATTGAATAAACCTAAATAAATACTCCAAACGAACTTGATAAACGGCTTGTAAGCAGGAGAAATATTTATACGGAATACTTAAATATAATGTAATGTGTGGCATTTGCATTGGAGAGTAAACTAATTAAACTAAAACGAGGGCAACACAAATGAAACAAGACATTTTAAAAATCGAATTAATAAAGAATTTATGAGAATTATATGTACATTAAAAAAGCTTGTATATTTATTGGGGTTCATTACGAGAACTATTTTATTTTATTTGTAATGCCAATATATTTCTAGAGGTACATTGAAAGAGTGATTTTTTTAACATGTATAAAGGAAATTTAAAACCTTGAAATAAGGTTTTGGCGCCAAATATCGATTGTTGAATCGCTATCGGCATCCCCTTTAATATTGCCAGACTACGTAATTCGACAATATCACACCTAGATGGCTGTGGCGCCATCTTTTGCTGAAAGGTCGCTTTTAAAAATATGCACTAGAGGGTGACCAGCAAAGTCGATAAATATTCATCAATCGATAATTGGCGCCGAAACACAATGTATTAATCTTTTTTAAAATCAGCCTCGGTCACAACATCTTTTCGCCCCAGGAGGTAAGAAGGGTGTTGACCTTGCATAGTTAGTTTAAATAATGAAATAATACTCTTATTCAATATCTATAAAGCAGAATCTCAGTTTTTATTTTAGGTGCATGAAATGTGTTGACTTTGTTAAATTAGATAGTTAAATTATTTTCCAAAAAAATTTCCGAAGGGTAGAGGTACAGGTTGTGGCCGAGGAAATGCTGGAATCGGGGGAGGAGGCGGTATTGGCAGTATAGCAATCACAGCAGAATCGGAATCGGGCAAGGCTCCAAGAAACGGAAATGGGGGGAAGGGAATCGGAGGTGGAAGTGGAAAGGCTGGACCCCCACCCACTTGGTGGTGGTGATGATGGTGGTGAACCTGAGAATTCGTTGGAGTGGTTGTGGTTATTTCTTCAGTGGTTGTAGGAGCAATGGTGGTTGTCGTTATTTCTTCGGTGTTTGTTGATGCTGAGATAGTGGTTGATCCTTCATCAGTGGTTGTAGGAGCCAAGGTTGTCGTTGATATTTCTTGGGTGGTTGTAGGAGCCACGGTTGTGGTTGTTAATTCCTCGGTGGTTGTAGGAGCCACGGTTGTTGTTGTAGTTATTTCTTCAGTGGTTGTAGGAGCAATGGTGGTTGTTGTTATTTCCTCGGTGGTTGTAGGAGCCGCTGTGGTTGTTGTTGTTTCTTCTGTGGTTGTAGGAGCCACGGTTGTCGTTGATATTTCTTCGGTAGTTGTAGGAGCCACGGTTGTGGTTGTTATTTCCTCGGTGGTTGTAGGAGCCACTGTGGTTGTTGTTATTTCTTCAGTGGTTGTAGGAGCCACGGTTGTTGTTGTAGTTATTTCTTCAGTGGTTGTAGGAGCAATGGTGGTTGTTGTTATATCCACTGTTGTTGTTGTTGTTTGTTCAGTGGTTGTAGGAGCTACTGTTGTTGTAGTTATTTCTTCTGTGGTTGTAGGAGCCACGGTTGTTGTAGTTATTTCTTCAGTGGTTGTAGGAGCCACTGTTGTTGTCGTTATTTCTACAGTTGTTGTAGGAGCCACGGTTGTTATCGTTACTTCTTCGGGGGTTGTAGGAGCCACTGTTGTTGTTGTAATTTCCTCAGTGGTTGTAGGAGCCACTGTTGTTGTAGTTAATTCTTCAGTGGTTGTAGGAGCTGCGGTGGTTGTTGTTATTTCTTCAGTGGTGGTAGGAGCCACGGTTGTTGTTGTTATAGCTTCAGTGGTTGTAGGAGCCACAGTCGTTGTCGTTATTTCTCCAGTGGTTGTAGGTGCAATGGTGGTTGTTGTTATTTCCACTGTGGTTGTTGTTGTTTGTTCAGTGGTTGTAGGAACCACGATTGTTGTTGTAGTTATTTCTTCGGTGGTTGTAGGAGACAAGGTTGTTGTTGTAATTTCCTGAGTGGTTGTAGGAGCCACTGTTGTTGTCGTTATTTCTGCAGTTGTAGGAGCCACGGTTGTTGTCGTTATTTCTTCAGTGGTTGTAGGAGCAATGGTGGTTGTCGTTAAGTCTCCCGTGGTTGTAGAAGTAGCTGCGCTGGTACTCGTCGTTGTCTTACATCTTGGCAGTTCGGGAAAAAGTATACAAAAATCTGACTCAGTTGTAGAAGTTTTTTCTTCGGTGGTTGTAGGAGCTGCAGTTGTTGTCGTTATTTCCTCAGTGGTTGTTGGAGCCACTGTTGTTGTAGTTAGTTCTTCAGTGGTTGTAGGAGCCACGGTTGTTGTCGTTATTTCCGCAGTTGTTGTAGGAGCCACAGTTGTTGTTGTTATTTCTACAGTGGTTGTGGGAGCAATGGTGGTTGTTGTAGTTATTTCTTCAGTGGTTGTAGGAGCAATGGTGGTTGTCGTTACGCCTTCCGTGGTTGTAGAAGTAGCTGCGGTGGTACTTGTAGTCGTGATTTTACACCTTGGCAGTTCGGGAAAAAGTATACACAAATTTGGTTCAGTTGTTGTAGTTATATCTTCGGTGGTTGTAGGAGCTACAGTTGTTGTCGTTATATCCTCAGTGGTTGTTGGAGCCACGGTTGTGGTTGTTATTTCTTCGGTGGTTGTGGGAGCCAATGTTGTTGTAGTTATGTCTTTAGTGGTTGTAGGAGCAATGGTGGTTGTCGTCAAGTCTTCCGTGGTTGTAGAAGTAGCTGTGGTGGTCGTTGTTTTACATCTTGGCAGTTCAGGAAAAAGTATACAGAAAAATGATTCAGTTGTAGTAGTAGCTACACCTGCTGTAGTTTGAGTTGAAGTGGAGTCTATTGTAAGTGCAGTCCACAGGAAAAGAACCGGTATGAAGCGACTGATCTAAAATAGTTTAAATTTTTAATAATTTTAAAGCCTAACTGAGCCGTTCTTACCATCTTGAGTTCAGTTTATTCACTGAAACCTTGAAATTTTTGGAAGCTATTTATATAAAGCGCCTTTTCAATTTTCTTTGTTGCTTTTTAGATAACAGCACTTCAAGACCACCCTTGTCAAGTTTATACAAATAGTAAACTAAGTGCAGCACAAATGGTATTGAGATAAGGCCGTCGGTAAATTCAATGTTTTGGAAATAATATCCTTATCATGTTAAATGAAAAAGTCAAATCCTGGTTGATTTAAATGTGTCTTCAACAGATAGATAAAATTTAAAATAAATGAAACAAATGGCAAGTTATTCCTAACTATATTTTATTTAATATACAGAATTTTGTAAATTAATTTGCATTCGATTTAATGCCAAAAATAAATTATATGTGAACTTAGCTTAGATCCCAATCAGATTCCACCTCTCTTGGTTTTTTTTACACATTCTCTGCTCCATTCTTAAATTGAACTATTTATAATGACTGTTTTATGAAGGCGAAAAAGAACAAATACAGAAAAGTTTATGGAAGCACCAAATCGTTGCGTATGTGTCTTATACTCGATGGTTTTGCACCAGTTCTCTAAAGGATTGTAATTTCACAAGTCCAATCGCGGACTTTGGCAAGATTTCACTAACAATTTTGGATGTGGTTGATGAAACTCCTCCTCGCTAAAACTAAGTCTTAAGGTTTAAACAAAAAACCGCTTAAAGCAGCAGCAGCTCTAATCTCTTCACGCCAGGACTCCATCCAGGGCGTGAATCACTCCATTGGTGGCCGGAATGTTCGATGTGACCATCTGGGCATCGTTCACCTTGATCTTGCCGGCGGATGTCTTCTGCAGGATGACGGTCTTGCCGGTGGACAGGGAGTCCTTGACCTGGTAGAAACGCATGCCGGCGGAGAAGAGGGCCCCGGGAACGATGTGCTTCATGGCAAACTGCTCGGCGGCCTCCTTGTCGTTGTAGAGCTTCTCCAGAGTGTCGGAGTCCAGTTCGCTGAAGCTCTTGTCCACAGGAGCGAAAACCGTGTAGGTTTTAACACCTGCCGCAAGTTATTTTAAATTAGTATATTCTCTTTAAATGAGAGATTATATTCTAGCTTACCCTTGCTCTGCAGCTTCTCGGACAGTCCAGAGGTGTACAGAATCTTGAGGAAATTGCTAAAGCGACCCTCGCGATCGGACTGCAGGGTCTGCAGAATATCTCCAACGGGCAGTGGGAACATCACGCGATCGACGGCGTGGGCCACTCCCTGCGGTATCTTGATGTCCTTCTTGTTCAGCACAACCATGGCTCCGTTGATGGTGGTGAGCTGAATAGATTACATAATATTTTAGTTTTTATATTTCAGTGCTATATAAGCTTATCTTACAGTCACATCGTTCCATTCCTGGTCGTGCATGTTGTACTGATTAACTCGCAGCTGGGTTCCGGCCAGGGACACGCCAGTCATCTCGTCCTGCAGGGTGGCAATCTCAAAGGCTCCTGGAATCACGTGGTGGAGCAGCAGCTGCACACAAAAATAAAAATATTACAACATTTTCTATCAAAACTTCTAAAAAATAATAAAACAATAATAATAGTTCCACAATAAATTTTAAAAAACTTATTCGTTCTTTATATTATTACATTAAAATAGATTTTTTACACTTAGGAAATATCATGTAAAAAGAGTAAGGAACGTTTCTTTTCTTTGTGGTTGTTTCTAGGTATTTTTTTTAGTTTTTTAAAAAATTTTAAATAAATTTTAATATAGTCAGTTATTACTGGCATATTTCAGGTTTTGTATGGTAACTTACCCCACTTAGCAACCTTGGGTTGGACTGGAATTTCTCCTCGGCCCTTTCGGGTCCGCCCAACTGCACCAGCAGATTCTTGAAGGCCTTATCCGTGGGCACAAAGATGGTATAGGGTCCGGTTTCGTTGAGAATGCTGTCCAGCCCCGACTGCCTGAGATACTTGGCCATGGCGAAAAGGCCGTTGGACTTGAGGATCTGCAGTAGATCCTCGCTGGGATTGGAGAGTACGGAACCCGTGGAAGGACTGGCCTGGGCCGCCTTCTCGGTGTTCTCCGTCTCCTGGACGAGGGCATCGGCATATTGGGGCACAGGTGGCAGAAGCTCAGCATTGTTGGCCACATCCGAGAGACGCTCAGTGACCACTGGCAGGTGGGTGGAGACTCCCTCGAGATAGGGAGAAACCGTCACCGTGGATCCACCGTAAATGGGAGATGGGGTGGTGCGGATCAAACTAGCCGCATTTGCGTGGGTGGTGCTGCTCTCGTAGAACAAATTGTGGCGGGCCGTTGTGGGTGCCGTGGTTGTGGTGCTGGTTGTCGACGTCCTCGATGGGTGATACTGTCGGTGGTTGCTAGGCGTTCCACGGGAAATGAAAGGTGTTGAAGTTGTAGTCGTCGTAGTGGTGGTGGTTGTGCTCGTGGATGTGGTGGTTGGTGCCCGGGTGGTTTGAATGATTTTCCCGCTCTTGATCTCCACCGTCTCATCGTTGGGCAGCGTCAACCGGGAAACGGAAGGCGGCAGCTTGATCTCGCCACTCCTGATGCGCTCCAGAATGCTCTCCACCTCGGAACCCGTTTGCTTGGTCTCCTTCTCACCATTCGCCTTGACTCCCTGGATCTTGAAGCTGCCATCGGCCTGTTCCTCCAGATACACATAGGTGGCCTTCTTCTTGGGCGGCAAAGTGGGTGGCGGGGTGGCCGCCGGTGCCTGGGACTTTGAGCTCAGACCCTCGATCTCGTAGCCATCGGGAATGAGTCCCCGCTTGGCCAGCTCTTCAAGAGAGGGTGGGTCATCCGAATCGGAGGTTATGACCGCTGAACTGGCAATGCTGTTGGCTCCACTGCTGATGCCTTGGATGTCCCCAGCACCTCCTCCATAAAGGGCGGCCAGGCTGGATAGATCCACTCCGCCGGGCAGGGATCCCGAGGGCAGGGTATCGGACTCCTGGGGATCGGGTGATCGCAGAATCTGCACCTTTCCGCCGCCGGGCAGCTCCAGATCCTTGCTCTTGCTGGGCGCCACGTCACTCAAACTAAGCTTGGCATCGCCTGATCCTAAAGCCTGTTGGGCCAACAGCGTTTGCAGTTGCTCCTGCGAATAGGCCTTCTGTCCCTGCACCAAATTGGGATCCGTGGTGCGGATCACCTGCACCCGCTGGCCATTGGGCAGCACCAGATCCATCTCATCGTAGGTCTTGTTGCCGGTCAGTGGTTGTTGTGGTGCCTCCGAGAGGGCGGCCTTCAGCTGCTTGAGCAGATCATCCCGTGCGATGGTCTTCACTGGCTTCTTACCCTTCTGACTGGGATACTTTCCCAGTTCCGACTTCACCTGAGCGTAGATATTCTTCTTGGGCGTGGTTGTTGCCTCAGTGGTGGTGGTTGTTGTCGTCGTGGTTGTTGTCGTTGTCGGATGCTCTTTGTAGTACTGCTGCAGCGCACTATTGAACTGATTGTACTCCGTGGGATGGGCCACTGGACGTCCACGTGCCGGGGCAGCTATATAGGGTGAGTTCTGGTAGTTTCCATTATGCTGGGTCACAATCGTAGGGAGGATGTGCTGCTTGATCTGGTGCTGTTTGAGCAGGAATTCCTCATGCTGCTGACGCACCTTGTGCTGCGACTTTTCGTACTGCTTGGCCACGAATTGCTCATGCTTTTGGATCAGCTTCTGCTTGTACTCCTGGTCGGCGGGTTGCGACTGAGGTTGAATGGGCGATGGGGCATTCACAAATTGGTGCTGGAACTGAGGTTGCTGCTGAGGCTGCTGCTGCTGGAAGGTTCCTCTGGTTGGCTCTGGGAAGGGAGTGGCCTGCACATTGCTGAAGATCTGAGGCACTGGCAATCCCAACTGGGGAGTCAGCTGATATTGCTGCTGGCTCGTCTGCTGCGGTTGGTAGTTAAACTGACCCTGCTGCTGCTGCTGCTGGGGAATCGTCTGGAAAGTGGGCACTGGCGCCTGGCTGGGCAGCTTTTGAGTGGTTTGCGGCAGAACTTGAGGTCCAAATTGCTGGGGTTGCTGGAAGGCAAAATGCTGTTGCTGCTGCTGCTGCAATTGCTGTTGCTGCTGGTAGGTTTCTTGAGAAGGTTGTGGCGGGAAAGCCGTGGACTGCAGGCGGGAATCTATGGAAGATAATTTAGAGGGTTACAGGTTGAAGATCAAGAAAGATCTTGAGTTTCATATTACCAAATTGCTTGTGGCGCTGTTGCTGGGGATGTTGCTGCTGCTGATGTTGCTGCTGGTGTTGCTGCTGCTGATGTTGCTGCTGGGAGCCGGCAAAGTTGCGCAAGTCCAAGAAGTTCTGATGATGCAGATCTAAGCCAGCGGCAGAGGGTTGCTGGGGGAACTGAGGAGCGGTTTGCAGTTGGTTTTGGGTCGAGCGTTGGAACTGTTGATTGCTGTGGGGCTGCTGTTGCTGCTGCTGTGGAAACTGCCCGAAGCGATGCTGCTGCGGTGGCTGCTGTTGCTGATGATGCAGATGGGGAGGAGGACCGCGGTGGGGAATGGGCAGCTCCACGCCCGCCTGGACAAAGTTTTGCTGATTGTACTGCTGCAAATTCAACTGACGGCGCTGAGAGTTGTGAAAGGGCGGCTGCAATGAGGTGAACAACAACAGGTGAGTTACAACTTTCCATGGCTTTGCATTGCATCATCCCGGGCAGAGAAGAAAAAACCAGATCCCTCGACAGTTGAAAGATAAGTCAAACACCGAGTGAACGCTCCTAAAATAGTCATGAACCAGTTTCGTAGGCCCCTGTAATAGCAAACTCCGCTCCAATTTTGCAGGCTAAAACTAGACTAGTTTGGCTTAGGGGTCCTTATTGGCGGGCAGTCGGTCAAGTTGAAGTCCATAAATAAAATGGCAAACTTGTTTCGACCACGTATTACGGAAGATGAAAGTGCAGTACGCTTTTTTCTCATTTAAATGATTGTAATCTCGTAGTCGTAAAAAATGATTGCCCAAGAAACTTAATACCCATCAAGCAGAAAGATTTCAAATCCGAGTTCAGCATAAATTTAAATGTAGATAATGACAGCCTCTCATCGCAGGCTTCCTCCCAATTGAAGTCTGCTCTATTCACTCGGTAACCCACTTGTACTTTGTATTGTTTCCCATCTGCAGTTGTCATTAGTGCTTCTCACTCACCAACCAACCGAGCGACCTGCTTATACAATCTTGCAGAAAAGACCGCCGCCCTATCCGTCATACATCGCGTATACGTGATGCCAATTGAGGGGCCAAGCAAATGGTCAGGCATCAAGCAATTGTTTAACAACAGTTATCCAACGCAACACAATTTCCAAAGGAGAAGCTCAAGCTCTTTGCTTTCTGTGTTTTTTTATTTTTTGCCTTATGGCTAAACTGCTGTATGTACACTACTGGTCAAAAGAATAAGTACACACGTTACACCCTCACTTGCTAAGAGATATCTCTATAGTTATTAAGGCCAGACCTCCCAAACCTTTTTATTTGGAAAGGTTATTCTGTTCTGCAATATTTAAATAAACAATGGATACAGTAAAACCTGTTTAATCCATGTTAGCCCTACATTTGTGCGATAGGTCGGTTTTGGTGTGGTCAAAATAATAAGTACACTTGTGTTACTTATAAATTTTAAAATATTAAATCTAGAATGGGGCTACGGTTAGTATTTTATCTTAAGTTAGGATCATGTTTATAAGAAGTCCGGGCCAATTGTACGATCCTAAAAGTTTCCAAGCCTGGATTTGGTTATTTCAAAGTCATCATCCATGCTAAAATCTGATTTGCATTTTAAAAGGAACACTTAACACTTAAGTATGGCTTGTGATTCCCTAAAATTTCCTTAAAAATACTACTCTGAATAAATAAAATCGATTGGGAAAAAAATGAGTACTTAGACCGTAAAAAATAAGGAAAAAGGGAAAATAAATAAGAAAAAACCAAAGTTATATGCGGTTTTAATTTAAAAAAAAATAGTTTAATTTTAAATTCTTAATTTTTTTATTTTTATTTTGATAGTAGATAAAACGACTAAAAAAATGAGATATGTTTCATTAAGATCGGTCAACAAATTATTAAATGGCTGTTGACGATGTGCACGATAACAAAACTGCTATGTCGTTAAAAACGAATTTCATACAAACTTGTATGGACGGGCAATTTGTATTTATGTATAGATATCTAGCGTTGTGCGATTCATGTAGTACGGTTTAAGTTGTTTACCGATCTTAATGAAACATATCTCATTTTTTTAGTCGTTTTATCTACTATCAAAATAAAAATAAAAAAATTAAGAATTTAAAATTAAACTATTTTTTTTTAAATTAAAACCGCATATAACTTTGGTTTTTTCTTATTTATTTTCCCTTTTTCCTTATTTTTTACGGTCTAAGTACTCATTTTTTTCCCAATCGATTTTATTTATTCAGAGTAGTATTTTTAAGGAAATTTTAGGGAATCACAAGCCATACTTAAGTGTTAAGTGTTCCTTTTAAAATGCAAATCAGATTTTAGCATGGATGATGACTTTGAAATAACCAAATCCAGGCTTGGAAACTTTTAGGATCGTACAATTGGCCCGGACTTCTTATAAACATGATCCTAACTTAAGATAAAATACTAACCGTAGCCCCATTCTAGATTTAATATTTTAAAATTTATAAGTAACACAAGTGTACTTATTATTTTGACCACACCAAAACCGACCTATCGCACAAATGTAGGGCTAACATGGATTAAACAGGTTTTACTGTATCCATTGTTTATTTAAATATTGCAGAACAGAATAACCTTTCCAAATAAAAAGGTTTGGGAGGTCTGGCCTTAATAACTATAGAGATATCTCTTAGCAAGTGAGGGTGTAACGTGTGTACTTATTCTTTTGACCAGTAGTGTATAATTTAATTGCCTATGCCATAAATCTTCTTTTTTCCTTGGCTCTGTCGATGCCAGATTGAGGCGTTATCAGGCTACTCGAACCCTGGCTCTTTCTTTTCGCATGGTAATTATGTTGTTGCCGCTAATGCCGCACCTCATCATGACACGAAGTTGTTGTTGTCTGATGATGCCGTCAAAAGTTAATAGTGGGCCGGCTCTTGGATTATGCAACCTAATCGGAGGGGGGGGGCATGATTAGATTGGAGAAAAGTTCAGGAGGTTCGGGGAGGTTCGAGCAGGTGAATGAAAGAGTTAAGGTGCTTAGCTATAATGGAATAAAAGCTTACTAAATTACAAAACTCAGCCATTCTTTGGGTAGCTATAAATATATTTTCCCCAAGCCAATCGAAACAAACAGGAAAAAACTCCAATGCCTTGTCATCGTAAATTTCAGTTTTTCCCCAACCACAATTTTCTTTCTTCTTCGAAGATGACTTTTCCCTACAAATTGCCTGGCTGGTGAAAACGTCAATCAGTCATCAATCAAGTGGCAGGGCAATCAGCATCCCCGTCCCAAAAGCCACTGAACTCCAGTCCTCGGAGGGCCATACGTATTTCTCTTTCAATTTCTATCCATCTATATGCGGTGTGTTCAACATGTCAATTTCGTGGTTTAGCGTATTCATTCAACATTTTCACGGCGCTGGCATGCAAAACGCTTTCGTTTTTAAACGCCAGCCATCGATGGCCAACTGTTAATACGCTGCGCATGCGCATGCGCACCAACATTAACCCATTGATGGCAGGTGGTTGTAGCTGTCACCGAATGCCACCGCAACCCACGTGGTTGATACCCAACTGTTTGCCACTGGATTGAATGTGTCAAACGATAGACATTTGGAGCGTTGGTGTCACAAATCAGGGAAGTGACTAAACTTTGGCAAGAAACATTCATCACAATGGCAAACTTGATGATGTGGTTGGGATTTTTTGAAAGATAAATTAAATATATAATTTATAAATTCATTGCCACAAATAAAACATTGGCAACTAATTGAAATTAATAATTTATTTTAAACTTAATATTATTTTATTCGTATAAAGAATTTAAAATCGAAGTGGCTAACGAAATAAAAATAAGAATTTACTTGTTGCGTTGGGATAAGAACAAACAAATAATAATAATCAATTTACATAAGGTACCGCTAATTTTAAAAATAAATTGGTAAAGAAAAAATCCTTTCAGGATCCTTAATGAGTATTCTTATATAAAAGTAAACCAACACTTATAAAAAGCCTATTGGAAAATACCTATATCAAACCTATTTTATTATACAAAAACACAGAAATTTCTCCTAATCAAAATTGAGGTTCGAAATTCGAAAAACTAACATTAATTTGTTTATTTCCTTAGATAAACAAGGAAAGTTCCATTAAATAAAACAAATGGGGATGGGATACCGATACCTATTCCGCTCCCACAACCAACACCATTTCGTTACGTAAACTTCTCCATTCGAGGGCTGTCAAATTGAATGAACATTATGCTAATCGGAGATGATATGCCATGAGATAGCCGGCAACAGGTAGAAGTCACTACATTCCACCGGATCGAAACCAGTTTAAAGTAACATTTTTCACATGCTCGCCGGGGCGTTGTGATCCGTGATGTATCTGTCAGTTACATGACTCCAGCTGCCGGCTAATTTGTTAATAATTCATAATTGATTTCTCATCGCAGAGCGGGTTGAGATGGGTATTACGACGGTTCAGCCAGTTGAGATACGAAATGAAAGCGAAATTTCGGAAATTTCTTTTCGGTTTCGTTTCGCGTTGCAGTGAAAGTGATTTGCTTGATATTTAGTAAGCATTTAAGCCGTTTATGTTAATTAGAATTTAATAGATTGAGAGCCGCAAGACCTTCGAGCCCCAAGAAATGGTTCGCTAATTAATAGTCACCCAAAATCAGAGGCCGTAAATTCTTCAAATCCCCAGTTGCGCAACCGCCAGAGGTATCTGCAAGATGCTTCGAGAGTCGCACAACTTACAAGTTTTCCAGTTTTTTTGGGATTTGTTTTTCGGTCATGTCAATGGCCAATGGCATCCAAGCTGGCCTCGTTTTCCCCGATTGCCTTTCGGATTTCCTGTCTGCCCCGCAGTCAACCAAAGAAAAACCAAATGCATTTGCCTTCCAGTTTTGCACTGAATCTTTGTCTGTTCTTTTTACCACTTTTGGTTGTTTGTTTTTGGAGTTTTTGGTTACTTCGTTACTTTTTGGTTTTTTCGATTCACGGAGTTTCAAGGTTGTTTCGGTCAGAACTGAGTGCCCGCTTTAAAGATCTGAGGATCTTTTTTCCGAGGCGATCGAAGACATGTTGTGCAATTTGTGTTCTGGCCATAAAAAGCGCTGCACATGTCAGACGTCAGTTTGGGCATCAATCTAACGGCTAATGAGGCTCTATGTTTTTGGGATTATCAAAGATTCTTGTGCCTTGGGAGAATAAAAATGCAGTTTACATGGGAAATATTTATTAAGTGGGTCAATTAAAATAAATTTAACTAGATTTTAATGTCATTTAATAAATGATGATCAATTTAATAACTATTATTAAAATACTAATCTAAAGCCCTTTGTATTATTTTGCCAAGCCTTTAAATCATTTCAACAGAAAATGGCCCAACAAATTTATTTAAAATTGATTTATTATTGGGCTGTCATCCACATTTTGCGG